TACATATCTTTATTCTTAAAGCAACTAAAAGCTTTTCTAATTAAATAATGTTTTATTGCATTTTTTATTTTATAATTCAGCAGATTTTTGGTAACTGGGGATCCTGTATAACAAAAGATTTTCTCACTGCAGAAAGAAATTCTGCAGTAGACTAGTTGCCAACCAAGGCTATAGCACCCAATCTGTCCTGCTATTCAACCTATACGTTTGGGAGGGGGGAACTGATTTATACCTTTCCCAAACATTTTGTCTCTAAGTGAATGTAACAAACTCAACTGGAATTCAAACTCAGGTTTCCCATTTCAAGCTGTGTACATAACAGGTTAATATTTTCTTAGTCAATAATTTAAAAAAAAAAAAAAAAAAAAAAGAAAGAGAGGTGGAGTAGGTTTCAATTAAATTTGTTTTTTTTAATAAGCATTTCATCCCAAGCAAGGCGGCAATGCCATGAATACACAAAGGGTTTCAGAGAGTGAAAGTAAAAGAAAAGACTGAATACATGGGGTGGGGGGGTTGTGGATAGGTTGAAAAGAAGACTGAGGATCAAGGCATCAGAAGATGTTGATTGACATTACATTTAAATTTTTGAAGATTATAGATATCAGGGAAGTGAGTAACAGGAAGGGAGTTCCACTGTCGGGAAGCATGAAAGAAGCTGTTGGAGTAGAAAAGGCAGTTACATTTAACTGTTTCAACAGTAAAACACTGGGACCGAGATGTCAACCTATTAGCACACTTAAATTCATGCAGTTGGGGCACCAGTGAAAATAATTTGTCAGAACAGTTGCCATGAAAATATTTGTAGAAAAGACGGAGGAAAGCCATGTCATGTCTGTAAAAAAGCAACTGGAGTCAATGTATCAAGACAGGACTGATCACATTGCATAGCCGTCTTTTGGATTTTGTCGAGAATCTACAAACAAACAGCAGGGGAAACAGACCATATATGGTAATAGTATTCCATGCACGGATGAATGATAGATTTGTAGATGTGAAGGATGGATTCAGATGAAAAAAAGCTTTCTGGAGTGACCCAGAGAATCAACTTTCCTTGTGGCTAGATGCATGAATGTATTTATTCCACCTCAGGTCAGTAGAAAACACGAAACCAAGAAAGCGCAGTGAGATGCTCTTGTGAAGTTGGGCATCAACCATGCTGATAGGAGGCAGGGAAGTTTTGTTATGGTGGGTAAATGAGAGCAGTTTCGTTTTGGATGCATTAAAATTTACAAGCCATTTCCTGTTCCAGTCAACCACAGAATAAGAGGTCCTATTTTGTTAACGGCCAGGTTAACTTTGTCAACAATGCTGGATTTACTATTGAGACAGGAATAAAAGGTCATAGATGCCTACTTGAGAACTGATGACATCAGGAAGATCATTGATGAAGACCAGAAATAGTATAGGACCAAGGAGCCTTGGAGAACACCAGCATTTGTATGAAAGGAACTAGAAAGAGAACCCATTCAAGAAACTTTAATTTCATGGTTTGATGGGAATGATTGGATTAAATCAAATAATCATCCTGTAATACCATATCCTTGACGCTTATATAGAAGGCCAGCATGCCAAACCCTGTCAAATGCCTTTGACATATCTACAACCACAGTTTGAGCTTTGCCGTTATTATCAAGAGATTGGTATACATATTAACCATATTGTTTGTCAGAGTAAATTGTGGGAGATAAGATGCTTAACCACTTCAGTGCTGATTAAAGTCTCAAAGACTTTGCCAAAATGTGGTAGGAGACTGATAAGATGGTAGTTAGATGGGTCAGAAGAGTCTCCAGAGTTCTTAATGACCGGGACAACAGACAAGGACTTCCAACGGGTGGAAAGCAAGAATCATTGAGGCAATAGCTGTATACTGGAGCCAGCTCAGAGGCACATTTCTTTAGGATTATGGCTGGTATCCCATCACCAGCACTTGCTTTATGAGAGTCTAATTTAGAGATGATGTCCAATACCATCGACAGGGTTATGCACATCTCACTCAGTAGAGCCTCAGTTCTAGGTGAGAGTGGGGGGAATCAGGTGTGGGTACTCTGGATGAGTTGAGTGTTGAGTTGGATGAGAATTTCCAAGCAAAGCATTCAGCCTTATCAGCTGTGGATGTTAGGACTTTGAATTGATTAAATAGAGGAGGTATTGAGGAGTTGCTATTGTTCAGCACACTCTTGTAGAACCAACAATAATCTTTAGAACCAAACTTGCGAGATGCAATACATTGTTTCATTCTATCAGCAAACAGTAACTTTGCTTCATTGAGGACACGCTTGCACTCATTACGAGCAGAGATGTCTGTTGCAATCAGACATGTCACTGATACAGATGGAAGAAGTGATTCCTATGAGCTATAGCAGCTGAGCAAGCATGTTAAAACCAAGGAGACAAGCACGATTTAACTTGGTATTTTCTTACTGGGATGAAAGCCTCGATGCAGGAAGAGACCTCAGACACATTTCTGAATGGGACGATTAAAAACCATATTTTAAGGGACGTCACAAAGGAAATCATGGAACAAATCCCAATCTGCACGTTGATAACAGAAAGATATTCTGTTAGTAGGAGGTTCATGGAGAGTGGAAGTAGATGTTAACAGACACTACAGCATGTTCAGAGTTGTCAAGAGGACAGAGCTGCATAGCACAAGAGTCAGGGATGGAGGTAAAACAGAGACTGAGAAGGGAAATGTTACCATAAGGGTTACTGGGGAAATGTGTGAGGGATTGAGTGATTGAAAATTTAAGGGTTTGCATGCCACCAACATCAATCACAGAGTGTTTAAGCCACATGTTATAGTGGGTGTTAAAATCACCAAAGACAAATATGTTTGCAAACGGATGTAGAGAGATGGCTTGGTCTATATTATCGAGTACACAACAATCTTGAGAGGAAGGGGAATGGTAGAGAAAGAAGAGATAACTTACTGAATTGAGGAGAGATAGATGAGGCACATATACAAATGGTCTGGATATTCCAGAGTTCCCTAACCAGTGGGAAATGATAAACGGACATCCCAGACCAGTCATGTGCATTTTAGAGTCCTTTCTAAGGAGTGAAAGTGATTGAAGAGTTAAAGTTAGTCTCACAGTAGACTTATCAAAGAGGAATGATTTCACACTTTGAGCTGGTTTAAGTTTATATTTTTGGTTGCTTATTGTCATATTGATTTATGTTGGTAAGGAAAAGGACTAATGTAATAGCAGCAGTCGGTCATCATATGTGACACAAGCAGAAAGGAACTGGTGCAGACTGGAACATAACATGGCCTTGGGGTTGCCCACCAGAGGTGCATGCAGGCACACCCATCCATGCACGACATGACACTGCAAGAACCCTAATAATATGCAACTGTTGATCAGAGCAGCCTCTCAAGACACTAAACAAGAGTTCGGGCTTCTAACTACCAGTCAGGAACAGCATCCAGGAAACTGTATGAAGAGATGTTACTACAAACTGCACACATCAGAAGACATTCACAACAGCACTACTACTAACTAAGGCCAGAGAAAAAGGAAAGGATCCAGGAATCCCTTCCTAAAAACAGAAAACAAGGGATGAGCCTCTATTCCTGTTCAAGAGAAGGGGGAGGAGTATTGACCAGGCAATAGAAAAGCCTATCTCAGTCAGTTTATGTGCTATATGTGATACACAATTAGGCAATCATGTATCTTCCGATACATGACTGACGAGGCAGATTTTTTCCCCGCAGCAGGTTGCCATTTCTTTCTGTGGTATACCAGTTGCCATCCAAGGCTATAGAACCCGATCTGTCCTGCTATTTACTCATCTGGAGGGAGAAGAGGAGGATTCATATCTTTCCCAAGAGTATCAGTACGTAAGTGAATGTAATGGATTCGAAAGACTATTCATATTTATAAAAAAAAAAAAAAATGACAACGACAACAAACCAAACAAAACAAAAATAACAACGGACTTGGCATCGAGAAAAATTATTACAAAAAACTAGTTTCAATCAGCTCAACTGGGCTTGTTAAAAAAAATTGACACAACCTGACTATTTTTTTCAGTATATTTCTGAAAAACAGGGGAAGAATAACATGACAAAGTAATTTTAAAAAGAAATCAGTTGGGTGATTAAAAGTTTTCAAATTTTATGTAATAAATCTTTTAAAAAGAGTACTAACAGTTTTAGTTATATCAAAGTAAAACAGCTACTTCAAAAATATAGTAGAAACTTTACTGAATTATAACTGAAGGCTAAAAATAGACATGGAAAAAAACTGGGATGGTAGCATTCTTTATGTCAGAAAATGCGCAGTTTTAATGTGAATAAATAGACACGTTAAGATTTCGAGCTTTTTAATTTTATTTATTTCTGCAATCAGACGAAAATATATTTACATTAAAAAAAAGTCTCAAAAGAATATAATAAGTAAATAATCTAAAGAAAAACAAATCGTAAAAAATAGTCACGTTCTCTAACCGTAAGAAGACGTTTTCTTTTGTTTTTATATTTCGATGATTTAAAAATGGTAAACGCATAAGCTAACTGAATCGGCTGGACTCATATGTTAAGAATCCCTTGTATTTAAGGCAACAAAAAAAAGACAACACAGTAAAAAAAAAAATGACGTTTCTGTGGCAGCAGTGATTTCAGATTTGGGTGTTACGAAGATAATGACGAACAAAGCTACTACTATTTATTAAATGATTCTTTTGTTGTCATTAATTTGACTTATATATGTTTCTCTCCCTCATAAAACTAATTAGAAGACAAAGTGGAGATTTTCAATAATGTGAAAACTAAATGTTAATAGCAAAATTACTTATGTTAATATTCGATTTTGAAAATTTATCAGTGTTAAAGGAAAGGCAAAACTGAAACGTGACTACACTACGAAGGAAATTCTTTATAGTACGCTGCACAAACCTAATTTTTAAATTCATTTGGTATGTGAAGCGAAATAAAACACATACGTTTAGCATAAGTAAGATTTTAGGCGTGTCTGAAGGAGAATTAAAGACCTTTTTACCTTGTAGAGTAAGGACAGTTCCTTTCAATAATTTTATATATAACGCTGACTCGTCTATGTCGTCCGCCATGATGGATAATAAGCTTTACTTCCGGTTATGCGTGAACATTATATCAAGTTTCGAGGTCACGTGACTTCGGTTGATCTTTCGCTTCGTTTTTTAGTTTTCATTTTTTTTAAAGCAGTGTAACCCGGATATAAGAGAGTTGTCGGGACCGGAGAAGTCTCTTATATCCGGGTTTGGTCTATTTTGTTTACATTAAAACAGGCTCTAATTTGGGACCAGAGAAAATCTCTCTTATATCCGGGTTACACTGTATTTCTCTTCAGCGTTAAACTCACCTGATTTGCTACTTTAGTTAATAATAGTAAGTGTAAAAATAAAACTAAATTTAAATGGTAATTGCACTCAGTGATATACATGTTGCATTTAAAAAGTATCGCTTCTCTTTTAATATCATTTTTTTAAACAACATCTTATCTTCACAAGATGCGTTTGATGTTTTTTTTTTAAAAAAAAAAGGTAAATTTTCATTTTAACACCCGAGCGTCATTTACTGCTGAACTATTTTCTTTCAGAAATTAGTTACACGTTTCCGTAAAGCGATTTTTTGTACTTAATGTAAGAATAAAGTTAACTTTCAAATATATGTAAACATCGACAAATAAAAGAATAACAAAAGAAAAAAAAACACCTAACTTTTGGAAAAATTTGAAGGGATAGCGCTCGGGTGTTGAAATGAAAATTTACCAAAAAAAAAAAAAAATGATAATATTCGACATAGCATTTAAAAATTAAATTTTTGAAGATCAAAATTGACAGGAATGCAAGAAAATGGAAGAGAATTCTACAAGCGAGAAGTGCAAAAGAAGAAATTCTCTGCATAGAACTTACGGTTGGGTTAACTAGCAGTTTTATAAAAATTTATGTAAAATTTAAGACTGGAGTTTGAAATTAAAATCGGCATGTCAGGTTTGTAGTGGTATGTTAATAATAATGACCATTTGTAGATGTTTGTTTATTTAACATGGCCACACGATTTATAACGCAAAATATGAAACAACAAGAAGGAACAAAAAAAAATAAATATAAATGTTGTTATAAATCTTTTATAACAAGAACGTTTATATTTATTTTTGTGTAATGATGTATGTGTAGAGAGGTTACTATTTTGTTGGTGTTTATGTCCCTTAGTCTGCTTTTAAAGTTTTACTGATGAAATTGAAATATTTTTAGCTGAGCTCACAAAAGTTGAATGAATTATAAAGCTAAGAAATGCTGAATAAACTTTTATCTTTAGAAAAGTATTTCAAAGAGAAACGTTCTTGTTTGTTTGGAAATGTTTGTAATGTAGTTTGGAAAATTTCGAACGTACGTGCATGTGTGTATGTTTTCATAGGCATCTGACCGCGCGCACATGGTCAAGAAAACGCTATTAGCGGTATTGACGGCATAAATCAACACGCACATTTTTTTACTTTACGAATGTTTAATCAAACAAGAGAAAGAACACAAGAAAATAACTTTTCATTACCGGTACAATATTTATATTGCAACGGTTTTACATGAATTATTAATATGAATTACTTCCCTTTGACTGCGGTAACGTCTTTACTACTAAAATATTTTTTTACCTGAGCTCACAAAAAGTTGAATTAGTCGCTCAAAATATTCACTGAAAGAGAGTTTAAAGAATCTTGTAAAGCTGAAAATGTGTTGATATGTTGGCTAGGGTCACCGTGAATATAATCAAGAAGGAAGGCTGTGTTCTTGTAAAACAACACCACCGTGAATATAACATGAATAATGCAACAAATACACAACATACAGAGAAAAATAATCAAGCTCAGTGAACATTAATAAAATATTGTATTAACAATGATATACAAATATCAACAATAAGTAAAAAAAAGTTGCTTCCCTTTTTCCGTAATAAAAAGGGTAAGTTTAGCTAATTAATGTTGAGTACAATGTTGAATGTTATTTAACTACAAAGTTCAATTAAAGGTCTTAGCTAAATAAAGAATAATTTCACAGTCTGTTTGTAGTGGAAAAGATGAAAGTGATATCAATAGAAATTAGTATGATTAATCGAATGAGTAATAATCAGAATAAAAATTAAGAATAGTTATTTTCCAAGAATTTGCTACAATATTTATTGTCGTAAATACAACAAATGTGGCACAAGGCCAAAAGGGGGTTGGGGGAAAAGGACGGTCATCACTTGTCTTAATATAAAACTTAGCTAGCCACAACCACTGACCCTATCATACAAAACAATATTCCTATCACCAAAACAACACATTTATCCATACCTTTCATACTACATCCACCAAAATACCTCTTCGTCTCAATGAAAATCCTAAATAGTCCCCTTATGTACAAATATTGTTCGTGGGGGGAGGGGCATAAAAACAACAATTTTTAAAAAGATCCCCAATGAATATATACAATATGACATAAAATATTTACAAGAAACTAAACAAACAGTGTGTTAGTAATAAAAAAAACCCACAAACCTTAAATGTGGCAGAAATATCAGTTAACCGGACGAAATCGATGCGGGACTAAGAAAATAAAGAGAACACTCATTCCTCCAAAGCATTCACACAGGCACACACACATTCATACACAACAACAAATACGAAAAACACAAACGTGAAACGAAAGGCGCCCCGCATCCACCAGAGAACTGACATCACTGACCACCTAAACGAGGGAGGGGATGGGGAGTTAAACTAAAAGAAATGGGGACAGAAAAAAAAGGGGCCGATGAGCAAACACACCCTAGCTAAGTTTACCGAAAAAGGAAAGAAAAACTAAAAAATCAACTACAAAAACCTAAACTAGCCTACTGTTGGGAAGGGTTGCCCATGTTCAACCCAGGAAAACAATATCCTGATGCCTAACCGGCATCAAAATGCCACTCCAAGTCAGCCCCTTTTACTCGACACAAGCGCGCAAGATTCACCCACCTTTTGCCAAATTCTGATGAGGGGAGCCGCCGCCTTTCCGTCCTAATCTTGACTTTAAGCTGATGCTTAAAGTACAAGATCAGTTGGGAAGAGGTGAACTTCTCGCCATCATAGAATTCCTTCTGACGCGTCGTCCAAATCACGACTCTCATAACCCCTAGTAAGCAACAGAACACATAGTGTTCAGCCTTCGTCAACTGCGGCACCACATTGCTACAAACAGAACTGGCTTCAAGGACAAAAAACTTTCCCTGCAGCATGCGAACCATGAGGCCTTCAACAAACTTGCACAACGGCACTACCGTCTTGCACTGAAAAAAGGCGTGACCAATGGTCTCGACTTCCCCAGTACAGCGACGACAGTTTGGATATTTCTCCAAGCCTGCTGAACAAAGTCTCTTGGCGACCCAGAGGGCCCCACGAATCACCAGCCAGGTGAGTGATGCCTCATCATTATTGAGGCATTTCAACCCAGGCGCCCAAGGCCATATCGAGCGAGCCTCCTGCTTCGTAAGACCGAGCTCGCCAATCAGATCATCTTGAACGGCCCCCCTAACTAACAGTCGATACAATGCCTTACGAGACAACGCCTGGGCGTTGGAGAGGCCATCCGACGCCCGTAAGAGGAGTTTCAGAGCACGACGACATTCGCGGTAGAAGGAGCACTCGGCTCGGGGTGTACGACCATGTTTACGGACGTCCTCTTTCCAGAAGGCGCCCACCTCATCCGATCCGCGACACATTCGGTCTAGAAAGGTAATGCGAAGCATATGTTGAAGAATATCAATGCTAGGCATTCCCAGACCGCCCTTAGAGGGATGAAGGCAACAGATCTGGCGAGATACCATAGGGGCATTGTCTCTCCACAAGAAAGAGAACAAGGTCCGAACTAAGAAAATTAGTTTGGCATACGGGAGTGGAAGTACAGAGAGTCTGTACAGGAGAATCGGATAGATGTGTGAAACACATACTTCCGCCCTTCCCTTCAGGGAAAGGCTCCTCCGAGACCACAGATTAACCGCGATCTCGGCCTTCCCTTTTACCTCCGACCAATTCATTTCCAACTGGAGATCAGGTCCGAACCAGACGCCGAGTATCTTGATCGGTCCATCCGTCCAAAGGAAAGGTCCGGGAAGAGAAACTCCCTTCCACGCACCCAACCGCAAGCTAACAGACTTATCGCGGTTGATTTTGGCCCCTGTCACCATCTCATAGCTACTGATCTCTTTGCTGACTTCGTCAATCTCGGTTCTGCTCGACACAGGAACCGAAACATCGTCAGCATAGGCAGAATACCTGGCTGAGGTGGTAGCCCCAGGCAGGGCAATTCCGCGCAGGACCGGATTCGCCTTTAACTTGCGAAGGAATGGTTCCAACGCAAGAACGTAAAGCAAAGGCGAGAGCGGACAACCTTGACGAATGGAGCGAGACAATACGAAAGGCTTTCGATCTTACCCCATTCACTTCCACCAGCGCACCGGGGTCGCATACAAAAGTCGGATCCAGGAGCGAAAGTCGGCTCCGAAACCGGCCGCCGAAAGGACAGCCTCCAGAAACCGATGGTCAACCCTATCGAAGGCCTTGGACTGATCTAAATTGATCAGCGCGGCTTCACTGTCGACTTTTTCTAAGATCAAGCGTACCATATGAAGGTTATCCTGAATAGTCCTGCCCTTCACAGCACAAGTCTGTTCGGGGCCAATCAGACTAGACAGGACAAGCTGCAAACGGTTGGCTAAGATCTTCGCCAAAATCTTTAACTCAGTGTTTAACATGGTTAAAGGGCGAAAGTTCCCTAACCCATCCCCACCGTTCTTGTCCTTACGCAGCAAATTGATCACACCCCTGGTGAAGCGTTGAGGTATAGACCGCTTCATCCAGTGGTTGAAAATCAGTTCCAGCAAAGGAAAAAAAACGGGCGACTGCCTCAAGTAAACTTCGTAGGGAAGACCATCCAGTCCCGGAGATTTATCCAGGCCAACCTGCTTCAGCGCATCCCAGATTTCCGACTCTGTAATGGGACCCTCGCACCTAGCCGCTTCAGCTGCCTCGAGGCAGGGAAAGTCGGCTATAAAGGCGTCGAACTGAGCAGAG